ATGTTATCTGTTCTCATTTAATTAATCATCAACAACTATGACTGCGTTTTACACAGTGATAACGTATCTCTCTAGACATGAGTATATACCATAGAGTATGAATTGAAGACTGCTTCCAAATAAACCACAAGTGTCTAGTTTCACTATGTTTAACACGTCATTCCTATGTCTATAGCTAGCTGTAAGATGTTTTAACAATAACGATTCTATTTGAGCTTTGTGTCTATAGTATTTGCACAATTAATCAGCGCTATTGTTGATATACAGTACTCAGGAATGCAAACATTCTTTCCACCTGCGTCCTTCCTTCTTTCAGGTTAGCACGTGTTCTTTGAATCTACATTCACACGATCTTAAATGAAAATATAACAATAATTGTACATACTCCCAATAAATAAGAGATGTATTGCTACATGAGAGGGAAATCTTACAACTGTTGAATCATTCATTTGTTTTGTTAAACAAAATGTTCGTATTTCATTTGTATTTTTGCCTAATCAAGTTATATTTGATTGCGTAATGTTACATGATTGTTATCGGCGGTGTTTGTATTTTGTGTATATTGTACACATAGTCCTGTTTGTAAACATGTATGTCATGAATCGTCCTGTTAACATTGATGCGCAAATTTCTATTTTTTCTGTGAATCCTTCTGTGAATCGACACAGAAATATACCTTTAATCGGATGTAGACTTAGCATGTGAAGAGCTTTTTCTATTGACACAGGTAACACAGCCATGGATCACAATTACTAGGTTTTACTTCTTGGTAAAGAGATTGCAAGTGGGTTGATCAGGTGTGACGTATCTCAATGGATTAAACCGATCCTTTGTTAGTCTTCATAATGGCATGTGGGTAAGATTGGAATGCTGGCTAGCAGAACAGGTGAAATTGCACGTGTTGGTATATGATATCTTAACCATTCAGTCAAACCTGTCTATAGTGGAAACCTCTCTATAAAGACCACTTGTCTGAAGAGTCGCCAGTCATGTTTTTAAGATAAAGGGAAACTTGTACTGGAAGGGCAACTTGTACAGGACATGTATTGTATTGTATTGTATTTATTAAATTTCATTGATGTACATCAATATTCTGTTTATAAACATATAAATCAATTTACAATGCATTGTAACAAATAAATATTCTGTTTGGAAACATATATCATATAAATCAATTTACAATGTAATGTAACACATCATATTCATGAAATGTAAGATAACTTAGGCATGCGACCGTTAGTGCCAACACAAAGACAAAACAATACCACCATACAATCAAGTAGAACGTTGTCATTTGGTTGGGTATCTTTCATCTCGGTAATGTCCAGACTATTAAAAGCTGTCAATCCTAACCGCTCCAGGGCCCAGACTAAACGGATATTAGAGAAAGTATATTTTACGGAAGTTGAGTCTGTTTGTCCAAAATTAGCGATACATCCACTCCCCTTCATCTCCTACACAGTCGACCCGTCCCTACCTACTCACCACCCCCGCTCACACCCCCTTTCCTAAGCCCCCCCCCCATCACTTACAGTTTCATAGAATAGAGACAGTTACGCTATTTATTAAGTTCAGTTATATTAACGAGAATTCTGCATAATTTGAAGAAACATTTAATTCCAGTTTTTAAGGGAGAAAATAAACCTCCTGGCAACTTGGAGTGATAGATTGAAATGAACAAGTTTACAAATGTCGTTTTATATTATAAAGCGAATAATTCTTTATAATTCGTTATTAAAAAGTGGTTTAAAGAGTAGTTGTTACATTTTTTATGTTGAACCGCTGCAAGAAATCGAAATCTTATTCCATCTCTATGAATAAATGTACTGACTCGTGTTATCTACTTGAAAGTCGGCCTGATTGGCAGAGTTAATAACTACCAATTTCCTGAATCATGTTCCGTGTTGTTTATTGACGTTCAGATGATAATAATGGGTTAACCAGGGCATGTCCCTGGTTTAAACGTGGAGTTACTAGTGTGATAACTCCTTGGGCTAACTTAGATGATGTCACAACAGTGGAGGATATGTCCTTGGTTACATCTCAGAAGTTCGAATGAATCATCACATCTCTTGGCATCCAATGAACGCCTTTTCTACAATCCTAGTGTGAAGTATTAATTCGTGTATGTCTTCTATTATCCATTCAATGTCTCTTCCTATATCTTGCTCATTTCAATTCTGGCAACCGTGAAGATATCAAAACAGCTACGAGAAAACTGGAAATTGACCCACATTTCAAATGAAATCAAAAGGCGGATAGGCACCCCAAGCCATCGTAGAAACCTCCTCGCACTTCCGGTGAAGTACTTGCCAAAAAAACTTCAGTGGCATTATAACTGACACTTCCTCCCCTTCCCTGAGATACCTATTATCTTGAGGTCATACTAAAACAAGATTGATGACTTTAAGGAATCATCAATGACGGGTATACACTCAAAGATGAACAAGAAGCCTCTGTTTGAACTTTAATTTGAAGTGAACAACGGTAGAGAATTTTACTCAAAAAATGACTTCCAACCTGTCAGAGATGCAACCTGTCCTGTCTCAAGGTAGAATCGAGTCTGCATTAAATAGATTTGTGAGAATTCAGACATACTACTATACGTTTAACAGAACCTTCGTAACAATCTTAGAGATTGTCTTCGCCTTTGGTTGACAATTCTATTATGAGTAAGATGAAGGGTATGGGAGAGGGGCAGTAGTGTACACCATACAACAAGCAGAAGATAGAAATGTGGAAATCGAAGCCAAAGTTAAAGTTGAAAGAGGTTTTATGACCGATGTATATGTTTAACAATAATAATGAGGTGAACAGACTAGTCACGGTTGGTTAATATATTTCAGGTCGATGACACTTCACAATGCAGTATTGTATACAAAATATTACTTGAACTCTATCAATTTCGAAGTTCCCATGCATGTTCCTCTATCCCCATGTCTCGTTTGGTCATCTCTAGCTGTCTCTCTTCGATCTTTCATTTAGTGTAGAGGCTGATACATGTACAAGGTTTTTACATTTTAGAAAGAAGGGTTGGGGCTATTTTTGGGGTTAAATCGTGGGAGTCTACGATTCCTAGGAAATGAATACCCACGGAGCGACCAACGATTACCAAAGCAGGCCGGAGAAATCTATTTCCCCCTACACCTCATTTTCTTTCTGTATACAAAATAGCTCAAGAAGAAGAAGAAGGAGCTCCTGACTCGTACGCGAGAGGGACGTGGAAGGGTGTACATATTTTTTTTATCAGTTCAAACCATTCCAACTGTCTCTGGAAGGCTTGTCAGTTTATAGATCATGTAGACTGATGAACGACATAGGAATAATCTTTAATGTTTTGTCTTTATTACATATTTGATATATCTTTAAATAAAATTCGAGCATCGAAATAATGACGAAATATAATAGATGTGCTTTAAAAAAGAGGATAAAAATCAAAAAGTGGAACGAAATCTGTAACTCAGTCGTTAAAGAAATCATAAAAACGAGTTGTTGTTTTTTTTCGTAATTCTTTTTGACAAACAGTGACTTTGGAAAGATGGTAAAATCATATTTATTTTCTGTCTATTGATCGTTGTTGCCTAACCCACCTGAATGCAATACATCACAATACAAAATGGCATAAGATTTAAAAACCAAAGCAATAAGCCCTCGTCTGTCTCTGTGTTTATGGATTATCTGCAATCCGGTTTGGACGTTCGGAAATTCGATTAGAACGAGTAGTCGAATTTACTCAAGGATAACTGAAAATGAGAACTAGAAACACACTTCAAGAAAGCATACAACTACACGTTACATGTACATGCAGAGTTTCCACTTTAATGCTAATGGCATGAAATACCCCTTTTCATTGAAATCCAGATAATCGGATAAACTCCTCTGCGAAGGAATTTCAGATGAAGAAACACTGTGAACTCATGATTGTAGTCTTAGGCAAATTTGTGCTAAAAACTGTCTCAAATATAAAAGATGCAAATATCACATATCAAATGATAAAACCAATACTGACATTATGTATTGCCATCACAAGAAGAAAGACACGAATTTGAAATGTACTGAAGAAACATGCAGTAGAAGTTAGATTGCAAGTGAGAGGGCTTGTATCGTCTTACCGTGGACCTATGGTTTCACAAGGAGCCCGACAAGGCAGGTGAATTCAGGTGAAAACTTGGTGTGAAATGGTTATTGTATAACTCTTCAGAAACTTTTGGCCGACCCCCCCCCCCTTTCATTATTGTTCTGATGCTGTGTACTAGCCTTGACTCTTCAAGCCTGTGACATGAGTTCTATTGGCTACTTTAGGTATCGAGTGCCCTTTTGACTAGAAAGGAAATATAGATTATGCTATCTGTAATGCAACTATACTAGCAAGTATAAGAACAATGGTCTTTGTGGAAAGGAGAAAGGTAGAGAGAGAGAGAGAGTTATCGATTAATAATGAAAGGGATGATTGACCTACGTTTCATCTCTTTTCAATTCTTTTATGTCTACATGATATTGACACGCATCGTCACTGCAGTAGCCTTGAAGCTTCAGGTAAGCAAAGGTTTAGTTGAGTCACATGTATGTATTATAACATGACTACCAATGAATAAACACACTACGACACAAGTTGTGCACCATCTTCACTACCAATACTTATGCACTCTATATTATTTAAACCTGAGTTTTTGTTTTGGTTGATTTCTTATCAATAATGATATAATATGACATAATGATTTAGCCCCTCGTTATATCTAAAGACAACAAAAGCAAACCAGAACCCCCCCAATAAACCCCACAAAAACAGCAACATAAATAGTACATGTGTCCAAAAATTGAATTCTTACATTTGGATCTCAGTGACATGAATGGTAATGACCTTACCTTATCAGAGACATGATGACTGACCTACTTTTCACCTTTGAAAGAATGTGGCGAGACAATAAACAAACAGGAAATCATAAACAAATAAAACAAACACAAATATAGGCCCGAAATTAGTGAGATATAGAACTCACCTTGACTTTCTGTGTCCCGTCGGCACGCACTCCTCCATTCGACCATATCACAAGTAGATTGATTAAATTCCACAAAACAAATCTCATGTTGAAACTGGTCAATATTCACACTTGTCCAGGAATAACACTTTCCTTCCAATCTTCAAATGATGCGATCCTTCCCTCACCTGCACCACACGATGAAAGTTGTATTCGCAGTATTATCAAAAAGACCGGTTCCTTCCTAGAGAAAAATCGATCGTAAAGAAATCGTAACCTAAATTCTCTCTCAGCGGGGTTGTGAAGTAACAATAAGTCGAGTTCAAGTCTCCCGCTGCATTGACAACCTGTCAGAAACACTCGTTTCAAGTGTCTCACTGTTGCCCTTTTCATTCGTACAAATATCGTCTGCTACGAGTAATATTTGCCCTGCTAAACTTCGCGCGTAATACGGCACGACACGACACGTTCGTTTTGTTCGTGCGTCTGTGGTTACGCTCCTCTCCTAATCATAAAAAGATTGTATTCAATGGTGTGCTCAGAGCGGTTTTTGTGGTTTTATCATATATTGAGGGTAACAAAAGTTCGGCATACATGCAAGGGTGGTTTGGCGACGGTATTCTAATAGAAGTTTTTGAAAATTCTATTAAAAGTCTCAGAAACTCAATTTTCTGCGTTTCTCTTGAGTCTTATAAGCTATTGTCATTCACAGAAAAGCAACTTAATAAAATCGTGGTGTTTTCATTTTTTTTAACCAGATAGATAGCCACCAAAATAAGCTGTTCAGCTGTCAAGCCAAGCGGTTGTCTGACACAGATACCCGACGGACATAAGTCTACCCAAACAACGGAAGAATCTAATGATTTGGGTTATTTTCTACACCACCGTCTGCCTGTGAGCAAGATTCACCCACATAATTTATTAATATGATTAAAAGTAAAAAGAGCATTACCACTAATAGGGTTTGTCTTGTTCGCTAGGCATGCAAACATGGAGGGCATTAAATCAGAACGCTAATGGAAAAATAATTAAAAAAAGAAATCTTTGTCATTAAAGGTACTATGTCCCATTTGCAGGCCAAAAAAATGAAAAAGTTAAATTACAACTGCATTTGAAAGATAATACTAATTTAGAACTTCCCTAAAAAAGGTGGGGCTTGAAAATGTCTTCAAGTGGGAAAATAACGACTATTAGTTGTCAAATCGACTTTAGGGCTATAGAGCCCAAAAGTTATAGTCTTGATTTTCAGACAATTGTACCGAATGGTCATACGTTTTATGCTGCGCAAAGATTCAATCAGTTTAATCTTGACCATCACAAGAAGTGGGTTATTGATGTAGACAAATGCTCATGTACCCTTTACAACTCTTTTCATGTATGTTATTACCAAAGAAGACAAAAGCCAGTCAGTTTACTCAATAGTGTCTGACATTGAAGTCTAGCAAGTAAACGGGTTTCCTTGCATAATTTGAATATGAGGACACTGCTAACCTTTAAATCCACAGATAGGACATACATGACATATTCATAATTCCTGCAAAGTTCTACAGAATTTGAGGTTGGCTGCAAAAGGGACATAGTACCTTTAATGGGTTGATGCTAATAAACGCTTGAAGTGTTTTTTTACTCGAGAGTATTGTCGGAGTTTACACTGCCATTTACTATAAGTATGAGAGAATCACGAAGACAAATGAAATTCAAAATTTGACAAGTGTTTTTCGTTTTCATCCATCTTCGAAGATCCTACTGATTCTAACCTACATCACTCTCTCCATCAATAGCCCTTTTAATTTAGACTTGACTATGTAATTAAGACAGGAGCGATTGTCTTCTGCATGGGATTAAGTACCAAATATTATTATACAACAATAAACAATGTCATAACCTAAATATTGTTTGCAACTATTTTGATGGGAAATGTTTTTTCGTACATTTTCGGGCACTTTCCCATATAGGCCTCTCTTTGCAGGATAAATGTTAGGCAGTGGGCTATTGTTTGAGCACGGGCCAGAGCCACCAGACCGACCGCTCACGTGTCATTCGGTCTCGTGAATCCTAAGTAAAGTCGTCAAAACGCACTCTATTTTATTTTCTCCTCATTATTTATCTAGCGTATATATAAATACCAATATTTTCTTACATCCCGTCATCTTTCATAGTCGTTGTTAAACACATATACATTTGAATGCATGTTTAAATGGCACCATCAACACTACCTTTAATCACATCACCTCTCGTTGAGAGCAACAGATAATATTTTTCTTTCGCTGCAACATGTTTATCCCTGTTTAACGCCTATCATTAGCCATCGAAAACATGAAGAGGAAATTCCGATTTCCAGATTTCACCGCAAAGGACTGTATAATTATGAACAGATTAATGAGAAATGACGAGCAATGCGCGCCGAGACTGTGGGGTGACCAGCTACATAATATCCTTTGGTAATTTCATAAAGAGATCGCTTGGTAATCACTGATATATAACACAATATTATGTTTGATTAACTAAGTTAACTAATTCAATTAAGTTATAAGACAACAAAGAGGAATCGGAGAGTGAAGTAGATGGAAGGGACTATTATAATTATGTGTCATCTTAGTTCAAAAGAAATAGTCAAACATGACATGAACAAAGAAGTGAACATAATTATGTCTCATTGGCAGGGTTCACACAAACAAAATAGTGGAAAATGGAGAATGATAACAAAAAAGGCGCTAAAGAAATATCACCTGATTTAATACTACAAGGCTAAAAATAATGTTATAATTGAGTTTAACAAAGAAAAGGAAATAGGAAAATAACGAGGAAAAGTAAACATTGAAAGAGCAAAATTAAGATGATCATTGTAAACTAAACTGAAATACAAGCAATCGAAATCTGAAGCGGATACAACATAATATATAGAAGTAAATACATAAATATAAGTAACGTTAGTTACACGAAATAGAAAGAGGGGTTTTATATTGCGAAATTTTTTGATGATGGTAATACGTAGAACTAAATTGATATAATCTCTAGAACAAAGCATAATGAACATTGTACGTTAATCGTGTCATTTCAAGTTTTCAAGTTATGGCTTTCCTTCCCGCTTTCCTTAGCAGGAATGCTTAATTTATGGTCTTCCCAATTTTCCCTGTAAACACGAAATGTTATGATTTTCACCTTTAGAAGTTCTTTTATATTTGGCAATGTTCCATCACCCTATTTGAAAGCTGGAATCTCAACCTAAAAGACATGACGGGATTCTCATTACGTTTTAATAGGGCCGAGGAGCGATCACTTTTTCAAAATGTCAGATTAATACTTTTAACGTGCTGGATTCAACCTTTATATTTTCATGGAACATTTTGTTAATTCCAGGGATAGGGGTGAGATTGCAAATAACATAATAGCCTTACAGTTTTTAAGCGTCAAGTAACGCCTGGCTGGAATGCTCCCCAGGGAGTGGAGATTGTGCACACAGCTTGTGCGAGCAAGCACTGAATCCCATGACCGGGGTAATAGTATATCTGTAAAGCGCTTGGAGACATTGTATTAAGCGCTATATAAGCAGAACATTAATATTATCATTACATGAAATAATTTGTTGGCACATGATATAGTTATGATCGCATATAATATATAGGGATGGGAAGGGGGGTGCATTGTGATATCGTTGGATTACATGCATTCGACATTGAATAATTATATACCTACCTCACGAGGAGATTTCATCTTACAAAATACATTAGAAAAGGAGTCCCTTTTTAACCATTTCGTTTGAACTTCATGTTATTTGAATGCCATACCTCCAACACATGTGACCTGCATATTTTTTCTAGAAAAATCTTTTCCCTTTCTTATCAATCCCCGGCAGCAAAGAACCCAATAATATGCGTCTCGTTTCGTCTGTCGCATTCCCGGCTAAAAACTTTATTTCTAGAAGAAAAATGTAAGAAAACTTCAGTTCCAGAAAGGTAAAGTTTGTTCTGCATTACTACTCGCCTCAAAGCATGTGCATTGGACTGGTTTAGAGACCATTGTTCAAGTATTAGTCTACGTTTACTTTGCTCCCTGCATGGTCTGGGACATAAAAGCGTTGCATTTCTTAGCGACAAAGTACGACTCTCGAGAAAAAAGGAAATTGGTACATTAGACATTCTCCGGAGAGCACGAAGAATAGAAACCGAATTGCTGTACTTAGGATTAGATACCGTACAGTTTTATTGGTATGTATGAGCTGCTATCCACTCTGTACTTGCCTGTGGTATTCAGTGCTTTACATAATGTACTAATATGAATGAATATCAATACGGAGATGAGATGATCTCTTCAACGTATGCAATAATCTCATCACCGACTCATGAAAAATAATTAGGAAGTACTCGTGATGTGGATAATCTACATAAACGAACTTTCAAATAAAACAGAGGTGTCGCTAGACCATTTTTGATTGGCGTCCGACTAGGTTATGTATAGGTCATTACTTTATTTTAAAATGTGTTGGCTCTAGAGACTGTACAAAAATCTGACAATCAATTCAAATAATTACTAATTAGGCTTTTACATTTCTAAAATTCGAATATAGGATGGATCTGTGCGTGTGTGTCCGCGTGTCTGTAGGGGGGGGGGGGAGGGGGAGTCCCACAAAAATCCCTATTTAGACCCCACTGGTGTAGATGTCGGGTTATAAAATGACCTCCAAAATGTTAGGTGTCCCGCCATAAAGAATGTTGGAAAACAGAATCGTCCACCCTTAACATAATCATCTTAATGAGCTCATGGAATCTAATCCATAATCTTGCATCGCTCTAATTACTTTTTCAGAATAAAAAAAAATCATAGTATAGAGTAGATAGAAGATTCAGTATTGTGTTTGAAAGCTATGCCTATAGCTCGCTAAACGTAGTGTTTATATATCTGTTTATGCAGAAAGAGAACCAACAAACGAACAAGATAAAAACAAAACAAACAAACAAACAGATGCTAAAAATCACTAGCTCATTTATGATACGCTGAGGTGACATCAGTCATTGTTTCGTCTTTTTTGTCCACTTTTCCACTTTATATCTTGATGGTCAAAAAATAAAACTGACGCTTACAGATACTGATTTGGGGTATTAAGTCATTGTAAAATCCATTATCCGCTGATTTTGGGTCTATCCTTTAATTATCTATCATCATTTCAACGCAAGAATCAGGAAGGTGGATAAAGGTTGACATGAATTAGGTAAGCTTATTGTCCGCTAGTATGGCTTCATTTCAACCATCTAC